TATATATATATATATATGTCCCCTGTGAGAGAGTAAGTTGATAAATAATTGAAGAATTAACCCAAATAGCCGCGCACCCAACCACTTAAGCGAAAAATAGCCGGTGGACATATAATATATGCATAATTTATGTATTATATGTGTATAATTGTGTATAATTAGTATATAATCTATGTATATGACTAAAAAAGTAAATAATAAATATGACCGGCTATTTGTGTAGAAATACCTAAATAATTTCATGTTTGAAAACCTCATCTCCTCGAAAAGTTAGGGAAAAAAAATAATCAAAACTAGCCATATTTAAAACAGGTAATTAAAAAATAGCCACATTTTCAAAAGTAATTGAAATTTAGTCACTTTTCATGTAAAGATAAAATCTAAACAAAAACTCTTAAAAAGCGAACTATCCAGAAATATTCCAGCATAATATGCTGGAGTTCGAATTTTTTACATATGAGATTCCAACATAATATGCTGGAATTTTATAATGTCTTGGAGTTCCATCATAATATGCTGGAAGTTTATATGCAGGAGCTCCATAATCCCGTATATTATGCTGGAATTTTCCCTATGCTGGAGTTCCAACATAATATGTTGGAAATTCATACGTAGGAGCTCCATGATCTAGCATATTATGCTAGAATTTTTCGTTCAGCAAAATAGTTGTTATTTTTCATTGTCTTCATAAATAATGACTATTTTTCAATTACTAGTCCAAAAACTGGCTAATACGTGCTATTTTTACAAAGTTAAGAGGACTTATATGATTTTGGAATATGGGTTATACAGAGAGAAGTAAGGTCATTTTGCATAGCTCAGCCCGTCAGAATTCTAGGCCGTGTCCAAACGCCAAAGCACTCCTAAGATGGAAATCCCAAAAGTCGAAACTATGATTTATAGACATTTTTATCTTGAAAAAAGATACTTAAAAAATAATTATGGTTTGATTATTTTTGTTGTTCTTTCTACAGATATAAAATATTTCTTAAGCTGCAATTTATTTTTGGAAACATTTTGATTTTATTTCTAGAAGACATTGTTTGTTTCCTTTGACAAATTGAATAAGGTAATCGATAAACTTCAGAATGAATAATTGGTCAAATGTTACGTAGCAAACGACTAAGAGCGTCAGTAAAATTAGGGAAAGTGCACAGTTAGCCAGTAATAAGACATATATTTCTTTTAAGCTACTATTTAAGATGTTTTTAGTTTTTAGCCACTGGTATAATAAACTTTTACCCGCCCGGACGAAAATACCCTTCTGCTCATAAAGTTCAGAACCAAGTGTCCTTAACTTATGAGCTTGTTATTGTAAGTTCAGGACTAACTTTCCTTAATTTATGAGCTTATAAGTCTAAGTTTAGGACTACGTGTCCTTAAATTTTGAACTTGTAACTCTAAGTTCAGGACTACATGTCCTTAACTTTTGAACTTGGAACTCGAAGTTCAGGACTACATGTCCTTAATTTCTGTGGTTGTAACTCTAAGTTAAGGACTACCTGTCCTTAATTTCTGTACTTGTAACTCTAAGTTAATGACCAAGTGTCCTTAATTTTTGAACTTCTAACTCTAAGTTCAGGACCAAGTGTCCTTAACTTATGAGATTGTTACTGTAAGTTCAGGACTAGCTGTCCTTAATTCATGAGCTTGTAAGTCTAAGTTTAGGACTACATGTCCTTAACTTTTGAACTTGTAACTCTAAGTTCAGGACTACCTGTCCTTAATTTCTGTGGTTGTAACTCTACCTGTCCTTAATTTCTGTGCTTGTAACTCTAAGTTAAGGACCAAGTGTCCTTAATTTTTGAACTTCCAACTCTAAGTTCAGGACCGAATGTCCTTAAATTATGAGCTTGTTACTGTAAGTTCAGGACTAGCTGTCCTTAATTTATGAGCTTGTAAGTCTAAGTTAAGGACTACCTGTCCTTAGTTTTTGAGCTTGTAACTCTAAGTTCAGGACTACATGTCCTTAACTTTTGAACTTGTAACTCTAAGTTCAAGACTACATGTCCTTATTTTTTGAACTTGAAACTCTAAGTTGAGGACTACCTGTGAATTCAGTATAAATATTGTTTATACTCAGAAAAGTTCATTTTCTCTTTCATGAAATATCTTCTAAAAGACATTCATAGTATTTTTTGAGACACAAACACATGAATTCATGTTCCCCTTTTTTTTTGTACCTAACGAAAGATTATTAGTGTTAATGTGATTATTAAGACGATAACAATTATGTTTTGCATTTTCTGGCATTTATTCCGACAAAGGCTGGACATATCTGCAGTGTGTATTTATATTTAATTTTGATATAGGACCTCTGCAATAAGCAATTGACGTTGAGAAATCCAAAAAAAAAAATGCAAGATGTAAAACCAAGAAACCAGAGTCAATGTATTCGATGCAAAGAAGATGAAAAAGAATTACTGCATGTGGGAATTAGTGAGAAGCAACAAGATGAAGTTCTGGAGAGAGAAGTGAGAGTTATGAACTTTTGATAAAAGGTTTTGATAAATCGAGAGAGAAGCGAGGGTTTGGGAAGAAAAGAAATGGAAAAAAGGGTAAAAATATCTTTTCATATTAATTTTAATAGAGTAGTGGCAATTTACGCATAAATACAACCTTAAATAATGGCTGCCCCACACCGTTTTTACTAAAATTGGTGGTCGAAAGCCAAAATTTTGATGAAAGACCTTGAATATTTCTAGTAGATTACACATGTGAAAAGAGTTAGCGTCGTCTTTCTTCTTATCATAATTGTTGCTTTTAGGAGTTGTTTGGTAGGATGTATTAGGAAAAATAATATATGTATTAGCTTTAGTATCATTAATCCCTTGTTTGTTAGTATTCTCAACCTATGTATAACTAATACTTGTATTAGTTATATACCATATTCAGTACTATTCTTATACATAGCAAACCATGAGTCCATGACATTAGCATTACCATAGTTTTTAATATATGGATTACATGTATAAATATAAAATTACCCTTTTAAAACCTTTTCCAAACCGTTGGAGGGTATTTTTGTAAACAAATTATTTTTTAAAATAATAATGCAGTGCATGTTATTTTTAATACACCAAAAACAAACAGTCGATAAGAAATAATCTCAGTATAACTAACTGCAACATAATTAATCTCAGCATTATAAATACACCCTATTATAGTACTATTCTTGTACACCCTTTCAAACGACCCTTTAGTATAGTATTTTTCTATAAATCCCTTTACTTCACATAGTAGTATTGTTATTTATATTGATATGGGTTACTATGTGTTTGCAAAATATTAACTTGGATTTTGCTGTAAAAACTTCATTTACCAATATTAATTTTTTTCTATAAACATTTTGTACAAACTTTAATATTTGTCCAAGTGTGAGGCCTCATTATTGTACTCCCCCTGCAAACACGGTCTTTGTGAAAGTAACAACAATATGAAGTTTCAGTAGCTGGTCGTATGCTGTTACTTAACTTATGGAGAGACTCTAGCAAATATTTCGGTCTTCCACTCGACAAGTTCAAAGGAGAGAGAACACTATGATATGAATAGATCATGTTCATAAATCTTCAAGAAAAATTGATAGACAAAAAGAAAAGAAGAAAAACAAAACTGAAATTTTTAATTAATAATGGCACAACTGCAACGTCCTGAGAAAGTTGATGAATGTATTCAAGAAACTACACAATTTGAAACTAAGGATGTTAGCAAAACCAGTAATAAGAATAATAAGGAGGATACTGCCTCCTTTAAATTCAATGTCCAAGCCCCTGAGTTTGTGCCAAGATCTCATACTACTACAACCCCAATTTCAAGTTACTTTTACCCATATTTCCAGTATCTTTCTGGGGGTACTGCTGCTTCTGATTGGTTATACGTAGGTGATCAAGATACTATTTCCTATGTTCCCAATCAAAATTTCTCTGCTGTTGGCCAGACTCAGAAAGATGTCCTTCCTGAAGAGGTCAAGAACAAGATCATTAAACAGGTATTGATTTTTTTATTTCAATTTTTTACTTCTTGATTAGTGTTGCATTGCTCCTGATTTGATCTTATATTACATTCTTCTTTCCTTTAAATCTTGCATGTTGAAAATATTTTCTACTTGGGTTTGTTTTTTTACGTTTTTCTTCAATCAGTGTCCAGAATCTACTAGTCCGACTAATCCACATTTGCATCATAGAAAGACTATTACGGGGTTTTAGAGCTCCCTACAGAAGAGGATTGTATTCTCAGGGCTTGAACACGAGACCTCTAATGAAGGATGAAACAACCTTTATCATTCCACCGTGCCATTGGGTGGTTATTTGAGTTTGTAATTTGACATTCAAAGGTCTCATTTTGACGTCCCAAATTACGTCGTTGTCATCCAACAGTCACATGAGGAGAAAATGAATTGCTTGAGAGGAGTGAAAAACAATGCATGGACTCCATTTATTGATTGCTGAATCAGTGTGAGATGTCTGCATATATAATAAGAACCTAGACCTCAAAAATTGCAATTTCTGCACTAAATCATTCTCTAGCATGGTTCGTTTCTGCAGGCTTATTAGCTTTTGTTTCTTTTCATTTTTCCACATTTGTGTCTCCATAATCTGATGGTTAATATATTTGTATATAGGTTGAATACCAACTTAGCGACATGAGCTTGCTGGCAAATGAGAACTTATTGAAACAGATGAATAAGGACCCTGAAGGCTTTGGTGTGTATAATTAGTAATTTCTCAATCTTGTTTTAATATCTTTTTTTCTTTTTAATTTTAAACATGTGTGTTACTGCAGTCCCAATTTCTTCTGTTTCGACTACAAAGAAAATCAAGTCCCTCATCACCAACCAGCAGACACTTGCTCATGCCCTCCTGTCCTCTACAAAACTGGTACTTATAAATTTTTTTTAATGTATTAATTTACTTATGAACATCGATAAACGACTTAGATTTATTTACTTGAATGAAGATTGTAAGCAATGATGGCAAGAAGGTTAAAAGAAGAATTCCATTTACTGATAAGGATAAAGAAGATTTGCAGGTACACATATTCACTCATATCTTTACTCTAGTCTCTATAGTTTTGAGTAGGTTCATTTTTAAAGTGCTAATGCCATTTGTTTATTAAATTTCTTTTTACAGTTACGGACAGTTGTTGCTGAGAATTTACCAGATGATCACTCTCATCACAACATTGAGAAAATATTCAAGGTAGCTGGAAGGTGATATCTTGCCCCTTAATTTATTGATAATTTTATATCTTGGCTTTTTTTCTTCTTCTGTAGCAAATTAAACTGACTTGTTATATTTCCTATTCAAGTGTCAAAACCATCCGCGTATGCCATCCCCAGGATCCAAACTCATCGCGTGCTAGAGGAGACATTGGCATTAGCAACAAGGTATTAAAGACGAACTGAAATTAAATCTCTGTTATTAACAACATAATCTGCACCCTTAAGAAGAACATCTCATTTCGTTTTTGTTTTTGGTTCTTGTTAATTTTGCTGTGAAGCTCCATGCACTGATTGAGTTTGAGAATCCTGAAGCAGCAGAGAGAGCAGTATGTCAATACATTTAAGCTCCAAAATTTAGTTCTTGTTTTACTTGCTTAACATTTTAGTTAAATCTATTTAGTTTTGAACTAATTAATCAGGTAGAGAAGTTAAATGATGAAAGGAACTGGAGAAAGGGCCTAAGAGTGAGATTGCTCCTTAGACGTTCAGTAAGTCTGATTTTACTCTTTTCTCTCTAATCACTTTTGTTTACACAATGTGCTTTATTATGCTCCAACTTAATTACTCCCTTGATTAATTTTATAAAATGGTGTTTATATTTGCCAGCCAAAGTCTGTTCTAAAGAGCAGGAAGTCGGATTTTGATGGGTGTTTTGATGATGAAGATTCTGAATTGACTGAAGACTCTGATGGCAATAATGTAAGCAAATGTCATGGCTAAACTATACAAAAAGTGATTTTCTCTTCTGAGGGCACGTTTTTGAACGATTGCTTATAGTTATCTTTATACTATCATCGTATGAAGGCTAAAGTTGTGTTATTACAAATGCTAGGTTGAAGAAAGCATGGCAACAAACAAGAAAGCATGGAATAAAGGGCGTGGGAAATTAAGATCACGTACTCAAATTTATGGGGGACGGGGACTGCTTGCTGCACTTCCACAATGCAACAGTAGTCCTAGCCTAAGTGAAGGACTAGTGAGACAGGTTACAAAAGGGCCAAGAATGCCAGATGGAACTAGAGGTTTTACCATGGGAAGAGGGAAGCCTCTCACTAGTACTAATGTTCAATCCAGAGTACATGTGGCCTAAATGGAATTTTGATCAATTTTCCGTTGGTTGCTATGCTCTATTCTTTAGAAAATAGTCACCAATTTTTTTGGGGGATTTCAGAGTTTAATTTTTGAGAAATCAAGAAAATAATGTTATGTTCTAGTTTTTCCAACTGTTTTGAGCATTGATTCATTCAACAACATATATAGCAGTATATAGGTCCTATGGTCCATGACGAAGGTCATGGGCTTTCCCTTGAGACTATTAGTAACTTGTTTTTGTCCTGGAATTATACATCTGAGATTTTGATTCAGCTTCTATTTTTGTCGTTATTATTCGTTGATCTACCATTTCTATGCCTTTGCTTCTCCTGAGTCCAACAGCAGAGATACATGAATTTAGTTATCGATCCTAGTATTTGCGACATTGCTAAAGTTAGAAAGAACTAAAGGAAGCAAATGTGCAGAAGTTCACGGTACTCTAAATCAGGAACATACTTGAATTTTATGTTTATAACCAACGGTTGCAATTTCTACTCCGGAATTCATCCAACTTCCCGAGTATCGAACATTCTGATCCTGTCAAAAATCTCTTTAAAATATTAACTAAGTCTTCCAATTGATAAAGCCACTAGAATATGAAGCTTCTAAGCTTATGTTATGGATCCAATATCCACAACCAAATACAAAAATAACAGATAGCTAGTGGGAATCAAACCTATGACCTTATGAAAGTTTTGAACCTCCTTGACCACTAAACTACACTTTTGAGTTGTGTTAAGGGGGTTCAAAACTTAATATATAAAGGTAAAAAACAAATTTTGCCTTATATATACACTATAATTTTTCGGCGAAGGGGATTCGGCTCAACCCCTTCCGCCCCCCTAAATCCGCCACTGCGCGCAGTGCACATGTTCTATTTTCAGCTAGGGTCCCATACGTAATTTGCCAGAAGCCCAAATACGCTATCGTGGCTATTTTGATCCATAACAGCTTACTCCTTTCAATCCATATTATCTGTTTTCTTAAGAAAGATGTTTAACTGACTTAATCATAAAGGTGTTTATCCAAACTATCCTTCATCTCTCTCTTAAACATCTATTTAACTATTACTCCACTAATTGGAGTTGTAGGGATATATTTGGAAAAAAGATACAGTAATAAATACTAACTTCTTAGTTTTTAAAATATCAAATATCATAAAACAAATCAGTTCAAAACATAATATTTGGAAGTAGAGGAAGTATTTATCATAACCTGGAATTTTTTAACCATAGATACAAAACATCGACATCTTTCTACTTCACATTTCCATCAATCTGTTTAAAAAATAACCAAGAAAACAGGAGCAGTATATGACCATTGATGATGAGATTCCAAGCGGTAAACCACCAGAGGATGTGGTGCAGTGGATGTGACTGCTCCTCCCTTAACCAGAGGTCTCGAGTTCGAGCCTTGGGTATGGAAAAATCCTTGGTAGGGAGCGCTTCTCCCCGAAAGGGGCCCTATGCGGCGCGAATCCGGATATAGTCGGGCTCCAATGCAGGTACCGGACACCGGGTGGGAAACCAAAAAAAAAAAAAAGATTCCAAGCGGTAAAGCATATTAAAACGACACCTACAGATAGGTTTTGAGTAAGGATCGTGACAAGGTGGCCCATTAGCTCAGTTGGTTAGAGCGTCGTGCTAATAACGCGAAGGTCGCAGGTTCGAGACCTGCATGGGCCAATCTATGTTCTTTTTCCCTTTTCCTTATCCCAGTTCTTGCAAGGTTTATCTCTTGCTAGTCTGTTCTGCTCTGATGTCCCTTTTTTCATCTTCTTCTCACAACTTATGCTATCGAACCTAAGCAGGAAATCATCATCTCTGTTGATTTGTTTCACAGTTCATCTATATATGGTTGATTGGTCTTACAATTCTTTTTTCCTTTACTCTGTCCATATTAGTGTATGATTTTTATTCCCACTCACCCATATTTTTAGTTTCTGACTTTAAAGATTCAATCTTTATGAACTCGCGGAGTCGGATCCTGACTATATTAACCCGAATCATTATGTTAGTTGTTTTCTTTTTTTTCTCCCTTTTTGTAGTCTGTCATTTTCTTGGTTTTATTCAATGTACAGCCCTACTTCTCATTTACTTAATACAATGGCTGCTTCTATTAACTGCTTATGCTAAATTATAATGTCTGATATATGGATGTGCAAGAAAGTAACTAGTATAACTTAGAATGACGTTTGTGTAACTGATATATTGGTCTAATCCCTCTCATGTCGGTTTTCCAATGAAAAACAACATCTTGGACGTAGTGGAATGAAGAAGTGCACATCAATAGCTAATTGAACCACTAACAGAATACAAAATTCAGAAGTAAGCTTTTAAAGTGATGCACGCTTGTCTATACAATTTGTATATTATGTTTATGCATATAATACCCACAGATACATGTAATGCTGTGCTTATATTATTAAGCACATCGCATTACTTGTTTTATTTTGTGTTTTCCACTAGTTATTTAAATTACTAGAACAGAGTGGCAATGACAGTATCGTGCACTATTTGTAACTCCTTCAATTAAAAGGAATTTCAGCACATGTTTAAATCTCTTAAAATATTAGTTTCCATCTCATCTGATAAGTGGACTTTCATCATCAATTCTTAGTCATCTACTCAACTTATGTTATTAGGAAATACTTCTGTAATGATCTCTACTTCAAGTACATCGAATAATGGCTGATTTAGGTCATAGGTATCCAAGTTTGACATCCTTAAATACTAATTTTCTAATAACCAGACCATTATTGCTTATTCCATATAGTGGTATAAACTTATCTGGTTTAAAGCTCGGACTTGTTGCTGTAGCAGAAAGACGTGCTTGTAACACTACATACCCTTCTGAATAAAATCTGGATTTACAACAACCCAATGTATTCCCACAAGTGGGGTCTGGGAAGGGTGAGATGTACGCAGCCTTACCCCTATCCTGGACGGGCAGGGAAGTTGTTTCCAATACACCCTCAGCTGAAAAATTTTATTTTGTGTCTCACACAACTGACACTAGTTGTGTGAAGCCTCTTTTTTGTCTCACAACTGTGTGGGTCCCAGAATTTTGTGGACCCAGATGTATAAGATATGGGTCCACAAATATATGAGATAAAAAGAGGCCTCACACAACTAGTGTAAGTTGTGTGAGACATAGGATAAAATCACTCGACATAGGATCACTTAATCTATTTAACCTGTAGTTGTTTTCACTGATTCTGAATGTTGTTCCTTTGTGTTATTTGATGCCTGTTTCATATCTTCTTAGGAGCAAAAGTAAAAGGAGATCTACATCTGTTCTAAGTTAAACAGAAATCTTTTGCTTTAAATTACTATATATTTATTTTTTCTTGACTCCAGTAAAGATGTAATAAAAGGTCTAAAGAGATTAAGAGAAATAATGAAAAGTCTACTTCTTAAGGAACTTATTTGTCTCATAATTTAACCCACCGATTCAAGAAATTTTTTTTATCTGATATGAATATTCTGGAAAATCTTGTCTTATTGACAGATCAATGTGATAGAAAACTATGCAGTTTGATAGGGTACAGCAAATTACCAATACATCTATTTGATCTAAGGAATTCACCAAGATTGATTCATGGTGATTGCTTATTCTTTAGTAAGCAACAGCAACTCATTTGGTTTCTGAACAGTCAACAAGATCCAACTTCGTCGGTATCAACCAGGTTGCCAATAATCAGTCCTTAAAATTATTCTTTAACAGTTTCATGTTAAATTTCTAGAATGTAGTATGTGCTAGAAAAAGCTGATTTTATCTGCAGACTGTTCTTTAGTTCTTGCATTACACAACAACAACAACAACAACGATCCAGTAAAATCCCACAAGTGGGATCTAGTGAGTACGCAGACCTTAGTTCTTGCATTACATAGATGCTTCGAAATCAAAGGTGTTTTGATACTTCAACTCTTTGGCTTTGAACTATATCAGCGGGTTGATGCCTGGTCCAGGGAACTTCTTTTGGAATGATGCAATGTCAACAACTCTATTAAATATCTTTGCTGCTTTTTGTCTAATGTACTACAGGTTAATAAATGTCAAAGTGGATAACTTCATTCAGCACTGACCTTAGTAAATAATAACTTGTTGTATAAAATTGGAGTGCTTACAGGTCCATTAAGCTGTCATGTGCATAGTGGTATCCCCACTCTTAAGTCCACTAATGTAACTTAGTTTTTCTCGTATATAAATTGATCCAAGCAGCACAACTCAAGTCACAAGAATCAGATTATATTGTTCTTAGCTTTTAATTATATACTTGAAAGTCATGGGTCGTAATATGTTCCACTACCTTACTGTTTTCTTCTGTGTGATCAGTATTCTGGCTCCCTTATCTGTAGGGCAGCTTGATTACAGTTTCTATGAGAGATCATGCCCCAGCTTACCTAGGATCGTTCGTTGGGGTGTTTGGTCAGCTTATCGTAATGACTCAAGAATAGCTGCAGCCCTCCTCCGTTTGCACTTCCACGACTGTTTTGTAGATGTAATTTCTCTCCTGAATGTTGTCACCAGCCTATTCACTTCTCTATTTCTCCTATAAGCATTTTAGAGTTATACTTAGTAAAGTAATATTTTAGGAGACATTCTCTTTTCTGAAATAAAAAGATGGAAAGTGTTTCTATTATGTCATTGTCTAGCTGGTATTGAAATACATTGATAGGTATCTATACTTAAATTTAAATCTAATGCAGCAACTAATCCAATTTGAAGGCTAGAAAGTTGACAATTAGTATCAGTTTATGCTTTTTGTGCCTTTTGCTTATTATTAGATTGGATGATTGTCACAGGGTTGTGATGGATCTGTGCTTCTTGATGACACGAATGATTTCAAGGGCGAGAAGAATGCTTTACCAAATCGTAATTCAGCCCGAGGATATGAGATAATCGATAGCATAAAAGCAGACCTTGAAAGAGCTTGCCCATCAACTGTATCTTGTGTGGATATATTAACTCTTGCAGCTAGAGAAGTGGTTGTCATGGTAAGAAGCAAGATCTATGTGCAGATGAGTATTGTAATGCCTAGAAACAAACCAAATATTGATAATTTTCCTTTCTTCGTTTTCAGTCAGGAGGACCATATTGGCCAGTTTTACTTGGTCGACGAGATGGACTAACAGCAAGTGATAAAGCAGCAAATGAACAATTACCTTCACCCTTTGAGCCTCTGGATAAAATCGCTGCCAAGTTTACTGCTAAGGGTCTTGATCTTAAGGATGTAGTTGTTCTCTCAGGTACCTTTAATCTTCTTGAATATTA